CACCAAAATTAACTCAAAATGGATTAAAGACCTGAATATAAGACAGGAATCAATAAAATGCATAGAAGAAAACAAAGGAACTAAACTCAAGGACCTTCAACTTGAAGAGAATTTTATGAAATTGACCTAAAAGGCAAGGGTAGTAAAAGCAAAAATAAATGAATAGGACTACATCAAACTAAAAAGCTTCTGCTCAGCAAAAGAAACCATCAACAAGGTAAAGAGACAACCATCCGAATGGGAAAATATATTTGCAAACAACGCCTCCGATCAGGGCCTAATGTCCAAAATATACAAAGAACTTGTACAACTCAATAACAACACAAAAAACAAACATTCCAATCAAAAAATGAGCAGAGGACCTGAACAGACACTTCTTTCTAGAGGACATACAAATGGCCAACAAATATATGAAAAGGTGCTCAACATCGCTAGCTGTTAGGGAAATAATTGTCCTTTGTGGATATTCTGGAAGCTATGCCTATGGAGTTGCTACTAGTGATACTGGTTCCTGTGGTACGTAGGGCTTCTACACCAGGGTGGATCTTCTTCCTGCACCTGAGCTGTCTACACTCTTTTAAAGTGAAAGAGATATCTGTGTGGCTGTGAAGAGTTCAGAATTTTCATGAAGCTCTGAAGAGTTCAGAATTTTCATGCCTGTTTGTCAAATCTATAGGTATAACAAGAAAATCTCAGGAAACACATATAGTTTACAAACTCATGATCTGGAAGGTACTTTGTAGTAGGAGACCTAAACTTAGACTCAGAAGGATGGGACAATTAATTTAATCACCCTAAGTACTTTTCTCATCTATAAAATGAGAATATTAATACCGGTGGTAATACTTCATAGTTACTATACCTAATGAAGTCAAACCCCTAATGATGCCAGACTCCTAAGCAAAGTATTAATGCTCATAATAATCTTAACTCCGTGAGTTAATATACTCTCCACCCTTTTATCAGTCAGGTCAAGCCTTTTGTTTCCTGATTTTTAAATTAGACAGATTCACAATGGCGTTAGACACTAACTTTTTACCCTATTAGTTAGGAGTCTAGGAGCTTGTAACTCCTTGCTATGATTAATAATAAATAGTTCTAGAAGGGCGTTCATGCATTCATTCAAATTTTAGTGATGGTACTCTTTATTTGTAATGCCACTGTCTTAGTTTAGTTTGGGTTATCCAAAAGCAGCCTGGAAATAATGACTTGGTTCTAAGTAGTTTATTTGGGATGTAGTCAGATAAAGTTCTGTGGAGTGGGAAACAGAGACAATAAATAATGTATAAGAGTGAATTACCACTGAGGGCAGCTGGGCTTCAATTCTGCTGTGAAGCCTCTGAGAGACTGAGTGGAACATGCCTCAGAATTGTCCCACTAAGGGGCAAGGAAGGCAGGTTTTTCTATCCATTATTGGTTGAGAGTCATTCCTGGTATGTGAACTCCCTTGCACTTTGGACCTGCCCCACCCAGGGGCCAGAAAATACCCTTGGGCAGAGAGCCATATGAAGTTGTAGATGGTAGGTATGGGGACTATTTCCGGGTGATTTCCATGGTAGACTGAGGGGACAAAGTTGCTTTCTGTTATGCTACAGTGGTGGACTATTTGCATCTTGTTACAAAACACAGTTAATGTTGGTAAAAAGTAGTAAAACTTAAAGGTGCCTAATATATACCTATTTCTCTTTAGGACTTTCTCTTGCAGCAGACCATGCTGCGAATTAAGGATCCTAAGAAGTCATTGGATTTTTATACTAGAATTCTTGGAATGACGTAAGTAAACTATTTACTGGTGCCTGCAATCTTTTAATACATAGCTTTGCAAATTTAGAGAATGTTTTCAGATCTATATTTTAAAATGAGTTAAAATTTGTTTGCTAAATCACAAAAGTCCCTTTGGCCAGGAGTCTGGGAGTAGGCTTGCCTGGCCAAGGCTTCTATTAAGTTCCTCTTCTTTATCCCAGCCAGGCTCACTGGGCAAAAAGACACCAATACTTGCATTTTCTCTAACTCCTCTCTCTCTGAGAGCTCTGGGTTAAATCCTTAATGTTTCTCGACCCTTTTATATTATAGCCACTTTTAGCCTCTTGTTTACTTCAGAAAAGAAACATATTAAAAGATATTACTTAGGAAATGAGTTTTCCTAAAATCGACCATCTGTCCCATATTTATAGGCTGTGTTTTCTTTTACTGAACAGGTAATATCCACTTATCTCAAAATTCTTAAAGCATATTTGTTTATTTTTCTTGATTTGAGGTTTCTTGTTTTCAATAATATAAATAAAATAATCGTTAATTTACTATGTGGATAACAATCTCCATTGACATTGAGAAATTCAAGTAATGTGGTATATGTCTATGTCTAGAAAATCTGACCAATTCAGAAAACTACAAAAAAAAAGTGATAACCTCCCTCTCCCAGTTCTCTTCTCCAAAGGTAACTGCTGTTAACAGTTACTTATAATTTTTTCCCAGAAAAAGTAGTTTTGTATATATTTATGGCACATTTAAAAGACAGAATGTAAACAAATTTATTGCATACTTGCCAGGCATTTTACATGTTATTTCATTCCATCTTCACAGTATGCCTATGATGTAGCTTATATCCCCATGTTACAGATGAGGGAAGAAACAAAAGCTTAAAGATATTAAGTTAATGGCCCCAGATTCTACAGTGAGCACGTGACAGAGCTGGAATTTGGATCTAGGTGTGATTGACTCCAACGCTGACATTTTTAAAGACCCCCCCAAATAGGGGGCTTGACATTATACTGAAAGATGTGCTCAGCTGAGAAAAGCAAGTTACAAGAGATCCGTGGGCTGTAATTTTCATCTGATTGGTCTGTAAGGCTTGTTCAGTCTGCTTTAGTAAGTGCAGAGATAGTTTTTCACGATTGGAGTATTTGAAGTGTTTGATACTTTATTATAAACAGATTAGGATGAATCTGTGATAAGTCAATGCATAAGATCTTAGTGGGCCAATGCATATCCCATAGCAGTGATAATTAAAAGATTTGGAACAGAGCTCTAGAAACCTAATTTGCTATGTGCTTCAGTCATTCCCTGTTATTGATTATGAATGAGGAGGTCTTCTTGGACCATTTAATCCTTAATAATCTAAAGAAAATTGTATTTTATGCAGCCTCATTCTACCCTACACCTTGCAAAATAATCTTACACTTTTTAAACTCACTTCATAGGCCATAACTTCAATTATCTTTTTTAAAACCTCAGAATTAGTAGTAATTCATTCACTCTCTCATATCGGTCTTTCCTTTTCTGCTGGCTCCTTCCCCTCAACCTGCAAAAAAGTCTTCTCTAGTCTAGTATAATTTTTGCTCTCTACTCTCTTGCCCTCCTTCCCATCATCACCAACCATCTATGTAGGTAGACCACGCTTGCTAACATATTTGCTTACTCACCTCCCATTCTCTCCCAATCCAGGGCAGTCCAGCTTCCACTGGACTGGGGCCACCAGTGGCCCCATGGTGCTGAAACTGCCCTGACAGGACCTTTTCATCTCTAGTAACCTGTTCTCAGTCTCAATCCTGTTTGACTTTTCTGCAGTGTTTGGTACTGTTAACTACTTTATTGTTGACTTCCACGTCTTCTGTGATAGTGATGTCTTCTCTTTTAACATCTATCCTCAATTTCTTTTCCTGGGAGTTTTGGAATAGTAAGAATTCAATACATTTATTTTATTTCATTGAATGCCATATATCTGAAAGAATAATAAGGTAATATGTTATATTTTTTCTCTAAAAATTAAATTTTCTTTTGAGGGTAACTTTTGCCGTATGTAAACATGTACCAGAATTCCAGCTGTTTCATTATATTTGAAGAGTTGATGAATTTATAAAAGTTTGCTTTTTTTAAAAAAACTTCATTTCACTGATATTTACAGATGAATAGGGTTTGATTTCCTCCCCTTCCCCCATTTATATACTCCTGCTTTTCCTATTAAAATAGCCTCATCTCACACAGGTCTTATTCTTAGTAGAACTTGAATATTGTTGTGTTGATTTTGGTATGAATCAACCTTTCTTGTTTTTGATGCAAGCTTGTTTAATTTCAGGCTACTACAAAAATTAGATTTTCCCACAATGAAATTTTCACTCTATTTCTTGGCTTATGAGGATAAAAATGACATCCCAAAAGACAAAGGTGAAAAAGTAGCATGGGTATTTTCCAGAAAAGCTACACTTGAACTGACACAGTGAGTATGAGATTTTATCTTTTTATGTATTCTACATTTTTTAAAAGCTCATTTCTTTACACTTTTTTTTTTTTTTTTACCAGCTTAATTCAAACCAGGCCTACCTAGTCACTTTGCATTTGTAACAATATGTTTAAATGTTTCTTCATCGATCTTTTGGTCTTTGTATTGTGTTTGTGGCATAGGTAGGGCAGTGAGATCATTTGCTTTTTAGATAGATAACCTAAGGCTGAAATGGCAAGATTTTTGCCAAACTGTAGCTAAAAATGTTTAGGTACTACAACTAAGATCTTTATAATTTCAGCATTTAAAAATGTCGAAATAGATATTCCCCTGCTTTCTTTTTATTCCTCATATTGTTTCTGTGCACTGGTTAACAACTAATAAACAGCATTTATGATTTAGTGTGTCCCCTGATTCAAAACAGCTCTGGAATCAGACAGACCTAGATGAGTCTCGGCTCTGACAATAGCTCTGAGACCCTAAACAAGTTATATCACCTCCGTAAGTAACAATCTCATTTATAAAATGGAGATACTCAAATATAGCCCATGGAGCTGTTGTAAAGATTTAATGAAATACAAAGTACTTAGCACAACAAATAATAGTTGCTATTATTATCATTATTATTGTTATCCAAATTCTTGGATTAGTCTCCTTAATCTAGTTAAAATCCTACTTTGCCTGTTTGCCCTTTCTGTAGTTAAAGACAATATTTACAGTAGGAGAGATTAGACCAAGTATATTAAGTAGCATATATGCATGGTAAGATTTCAGAGACAGACTGTGGCAACTTTCTTTTCAGAATCTCTGTTCTACAGGTCCCTTGTAATTGTTTTCTCTCCTTTTATAGCAATTGGGGCACTGAAGATGATGAGACGCAGAGCTACCACAGTGGTAATTCAGACCCTCGAGGATTTGGTATGTTTGCCTATTTGTATGTAAGATATATAGATTTATGTGCTTTTGCATTGCGTACCTATTCATGATTGTAATAAATCTAAAACATTAAGTATAATACATTTATTAGAAGTATGTTTATTTTTATTTGCACAAATAATTTATTTAGGAGTTGTTTAATCTCATAGCCTCAGTCTAAACTTTATATCTACTCTCTCACAATATTTTACTTTTCAGTTTCTATTATATTTCTAATAGACTTTTTACTTTGTAAAAAAAAAAAAACTATGGTTAATAATAACCTTGATTTTTGCTACCATCTGCTTTGATCTAAACTCGATCAAGAGAGGTAACAAAATTACAGGTTTAAATTGGCTACTGCATAGTCAATGTCAACCACAACCTAAATAACACTTTGTTTGATGTAACTTATTCTTAATAGATTGAACTATATATGAACCAATATTGGGCTTATTTTAAATAGTTTATAATTCAGAGCAGCTAATTATTATACCTGGCCAGTTAGAATTAGATTCTTGTTCTTTAACATATTATAGGTTTTGAACCTACTTTGATTCAATCTGTTTTCGGATGCCTTGTGTTTTGAAATAATCTAGTTGGGGAAGCTACTTGCGGTATTTGGCTATCCTGTTGCAATGATTTCTTCCTTTTCTCTGCCTTTTTTTGGGGGTGGCTACCTAAGGTCACATTGGAATCGCTGTTCCTGATGTACACGGAGCTTGTAAAAGATTTGAGGAACTGGGAGTCAAATTTGTGAAGAAACCTGATGATGGTGAGTCTGCTACTTGTTTTCTTCAGGCCTCTTTAGTTACAGAACATTTACTAAGCATCCACAGAGAGGATACTCTTGTGGTGAAACCATTTTGGTTGCAAGTAACTTTGAAGGTGCCTACTTCAGCCATCTTAAAGAAAGGAAGGAAATTATTGGAAGAATACCTCCTTGTTTTAGGGAACTGAAAGACAGCAACTAGCGTGGCTTCACAAGGGACTAGACACAGGATATGAGGAGCCATCAAAGACAGGCTCCCTCTCCTACCCTTCGACCCTGCCACATTCTCTCATTGGCCACTAGTTTTCACTATTTCAGGTGTTATCTAGCCACCCCAAAACAAGTCCCTTAAAGTGTATTTTATCTGATATTAATGTAGCTATACCAGATCTCTTCAGTTATTAATTGCCTGGTATTTCTTTTATAACCTTTGCATGTCCTTGTATTTTAGGTATGCCTCTCGAAATAGTATATATCTGGATTTTGTTGGATGTACATGTATTATAATTTATTTTACTTAGATCTGTTTCTGCCATCATAATTTATCATTTCAGTTTTCATTTGAAACATTTGTTTCATTTTAATCCTTTTTCTTTTTTTCAGTCTTTTTTTTTCCCCAAAAAGATTTGATATCCAGATATTCTCCCCAATAGGAAAAGAACTAGCTCCCCTCTACTTCCATCATGTTACAATTACCCAGACTGGGATATTATTTATTTTCTTTTTTCTTTGGCCTTGGCTTTTTTTTTATGATAATAAATATATCAAGGTATTTGATCATCTCTTCTCCATATATGTCTTGCAGCACCTTTTAGATTTTTCTGTCCTTTTATTAAATACCTCAACTAAAATTATTTTCAAAGGGTTTCTGAGACAAAACTTTTGAGACTTTGTATGCCTGAGAACCATGCCTTTATACATACATTCCAGTTTTGCTGAATATAAAATCTTAGGTTTATTTTCCTTCAATCTTGAAAATAGAACTCTATTTTCTTATTTTTCCATCCAGTGTCACTGTTGGAAAATCTGCTGAATTGTATTCCTTTGTATATCATCTTCTGTTTTCTTCTGGTAGCTTTTCATATTTGTTATTTCTTTGTCTTTGCATTCTTTCTGAGATTTCCTCAAACTGGCATACCAGTTAGATAATTTTTCCTCAAATGTATCTGTTCTGATATTCATCCTTTGTGTTCTCATCTCTCGTTATTTTTGAATCTATAATCCATTGTTTGTTTTGCGGTTATGTTCCTCAAATTCTTGTTATTTTGGTCTCAGAGGGGTTTTCCCCCTGTAACTATTAGCTATTATAGTCTATCAGGCAATGTGAATGGGTGTGGGGAGGCCAGACTCAGTCTATAACAACACAAATGATCTCAGGAAGATGAGCTGGGCAGAGATCTCTAGGCAACTGAAAATGAGAGTTAAACATTTCACATTCCACAGAACAAGTTTTTAGGTGAGATTCTATTCTCGCTTTGTTACTCATGGACAAAGTATTAGCAGTATTAGTAGGAGACACTTCTGAGATTGTTATTCCCAAACCCTGGTTGTGTGGAAAGTGAAGGCTGGGGAAGATCAGTTGGTTCCCACCTGTTTTCCTCAGTTTCCCACAGGTACAAGTCTTCTGTAGTGCCCTTATTTACTCCTGAGGACATCTGAACAAGTAGCACCCTTACCCCACCCCCCAAATATTGGGGTAAGTGTTGATGCCCAAGGCACTGGGAGAGGCAAGAGCCAAACTAACAAAACTTTTGTTTATTCTCCCATAGCCATGATGGACTACCTTCCAGCCCAAGTCAAAAGTAGCCCCTCCACATAGACCAGGTTAAAACAGTCACCCTACCCCATCTCCACAATTCTCCCCAGCCACCATCCCAAGTGTTACTTATTTTATTTTTTCCACTTTCCATCTGTTTCTCTGGGATGATCGTAGGGGGAAAGGAGCAACAGATAGGAGTGAAACTAATTCAGCAGCTTTGTCCCATAATACATTTCTGAGGTCACATTTTTCCATTCAAGCAAAAAACTCTACTACTAGATCTACTAGCCTTTCAATCCCAGTTATGAATTGCTACGAAAAATAATCTGAGTGGCAGAGCTTGAGTTATACAGAATAGTCTTGAAAGGGTTTGTATGACTGAAGCATCTGGGTCTTTTGGCTGTATGAGTAAGCCATGCTACCTGTTCCCTTGAGCACCTCTTTATTTTCTTTTTCCTCTTTAAGATAAGACAATTTGACTGCTAAACTGGTTGCATGAAGTGATGTCATGAAGATGAAGTAATTACCTGATACCTTTAAGATGTAGCCAGTATCACCATTTATTTCAGTAGAGTCGGTTTCCAGCTATTTGTTCTGAAAAACATGCATTTGGGCAACACTGACAGTAGAATTTTTTTAAAGTTAAAATTATAAACAAAATAATATACTTTATTAAAATGCAAATTAAAATTAAAATATACTTAAAATTTTTAAGTTTTAAAAAAGTCTTCAATAATGAAAATCATTTCATTTTACAGGTAAAATGAAAGGCCTGGCATTTATTCAAGATCCTGATGGCTACTGGATTGAAATTTTGAATCCTAACAAAATGACAACTATTACTTAGTTCTGTGAGAGTACTGCTTTCAGTGAAGACATTGTAGGAGTTGAAAAAAAAACATACAATTTAAGATATTCAGATAGCAGAAACTTCTAGGACTGATAGTGGTTCTCATTGTCCCATTCAAATTATTCTTAAGTCCATTTCCCTTTCCTTTTTCAGCTGTGTTTTTCACCTATCTGTTCAGTCATTTGAGTTTCAAAGTAATGCTTTGTCTTATGTCCTTGAATGTAGTATAACATTACTTTTTTAGGTAAAAATTAGAACACTTCCCTTCGGAGGCTGCATTTGCCTTCTATCTCCTAACTATGACTTCTCTACAAGTCTACCTTTGAATCATTTTCAAAAAAAAAAGAAAAAAACATTTAACATGTTTTTGTTGTGGTGGGATTTCAGTTTCTCAGAAATAACTTTTCACAATGGAAAGAACACTGAACAAAAATTAAACTTTATGTGTACTTCAAATAGCATAAAGGGTTTATTTTATAAAAGACAAGTCACTCTTGGGAGAAGTTTAGAACCGTGCTGATAAGGATGCTGATAAAAAAAACAAAAACAAAAAACTAACTTCTAATTTATAAAGTACTTTCAAAGTTCAAGGACTAACCTCTTTATTTTGGGATGGGGAGGAGGATGGCAATGTTATTTACTGGGTGGGTATGCAGACACCAGATTAGGCTATTTTATCTCACTTAATCCTTCCAACTGTCCAGTGAGAAAGAAAGCAGGCTAGACATGTAAAATAACTTAAATGAATTGAAGGCAATATGAATAGGCTCAAATACTCAAGATTTCACCATCATTTTTAGTATGTAGGTTGTACCTCAAAAATTAGTACTTCACAATACCTCCTCCAATAGTCTCCTGTTGTAAAACCTTCTGTGATTTTGAGTATTATCCTCTCAGCTCTCAGGCCTGAGTCCCACGGTGAGGGAAGAAAGAAGTAGTGGAGGAAGTCTGTAGCACACAGCTGCTCAGGGATGCCCGGTTGTTCCTGTGTGGTTGGTACTTGTATTATTTACAAAGAACCCCTACCCCCAGGTCTTCCAGATGCCAGTAATCATTTAGGATAAATTACAATCAATGATAATTTAGTTATCAGAAATTAGCTCAGTGGTCTTCCCTGCCACGATCAACATTTGATGGGTTTTTAAAAACCAAACTGATTTTGAAAATCTCTTACGGCCAAAAGAATAAGAACATCCAGATTGTGGTTTAACTATTTAGTTTTTCCATAGACTCTAGTGGAAGACCTTTGCATAGGCCATGCCAATTGTGCTTACACCGCTAGAAGCACTTCACATTTCCTTTTTGGATGTAATGGACTTATGTGAGCAATTCAAACAAATAGTAATACTTACAGACTGAAATAAAATACATATTTAAATAAGACTGTGTTTAATTTGTAAACTTCTGTCCAGCATGTTTTCTTAAAAGAAGAAAAAGGCTGCCCTCAGGGAGTAGTGCAAGGATTTGAAGGGGCTTGCAGACCCATCCTGAACTGGGAGTAGATGTAATTTTGTATATCCTGCAAAGCAGACAGCTTCTATGGATAAGGAAGTGTGGGAAAGGTGGGAAGAGGAAAGTAAATAAAGAATAAAGGATTGAGGGAGCAAAAGTACAGAGAAGAAAGGCCAAATATCAAAGGCAAGTTGTAGGAACCAATCAATGAAGACTATTTTCACATGATGCGTATAGAATTATCAACCAGGAGGGTTATTAGATTCATAAATTCAGTCATGTAAACCTTATTTCCACAGAAAAGAGCCTTCTCTACTTGCTAAGTATTACTTGGCCAAAAGATAGCCATTGCTTATTCTTTAAATTCATCTTTATATACATTGAAAAATATATATCATGTATCACCAGGCTTTGCCGGGTATTAGGACAATTCACTTACTTCCAATTAACTTACCTGAGAAGCGGTGCTATGAAAGAGTGACAGTGTCAGCACAAGAATCTTCTTGTTTTCCACCACTGGACAACAGAACTAGCTTACTGTGAATGTAAAATCAGTCTCCCACGAAACCTACAGAGCTGACCCTGGTATGCCATTATAGTACAGGTGTTCTGAATTAGGAACTGATGGCTGAGAGTCACAGTCACATTGCTTCCCTACATAGCATTCTGTCCAGGATTGTGTGCAGTGTATATAAAAATTTCTTAGTTACCCAACTGTTTATGAAGAGGGTTATATCGGTAAGGATGCTTGCTGTTGGCAATTAGAAAAGACCCATCTTTATCAGATGTAACAAGCACTTCAGAGGTTCTAGAAGGGGTTGGTAGTGAGTTCACATATATCAAGAACCTCAGTTTCCTTCCATCTTTCTCAGCCTGTCATTCTCAGCATTTTCTTTTGGGGATAACAATACTCGTGAACAAAGATGCCTACCATCATTCTGGGCGTCATGCATAAACCAAAAACGTTCGGTGAAAGAAAATAACCTTTTGTTCTTCAGCAGAAATTCTCACATTTTGACCAGAACTGGATCACTTGCCTGTATCTAATCACTGGCAAAGCAAATGAGACCATTGACTTAGATGGATCATATCTACCCAAGTTGCCTGCATGAGGGTGGACACTGGATCAAAATTGATACTTCCAGAATGGAAGAGCAAATAAGGGTTTCTAAGTAAGCATAAATAGGAACTGCAACAGGGTGAAATTAAATATTGAGGACCTAGTTGGTGCAGGTGCTATAAGAAATCATAAAGCATTTCCTGCCCTCAAAGTGCCTGGTCTAAGATTGTGGTTCTCAACCAAGTCAGACTTAGCAAACCCTTTTTATTATAACATGAGGACTTTTATAACATGTATCACACCCACTATCCTAAAATGAAATTCATATTTTCCTTATATGCAGTTTCAAAAAGCGTGAGTCCAATGCCTTTATTGTAACATAAAAGAGAAGTGAAATCAATTTGTAATAAAATACACATTTGAATATGTAAATGCCCAGATACTAGTATGCTAGATAATAGTGTAGTTAGGTGTTTACTCTTAAGTATGGAAGAAGTAAAACTGTTCAACAGAATATTGTTAACACTATTTGATATTTTAAAATAATGAATTCATGACTCCTGAAGAGCTATGATGTTACAACTTTAAATGCGTACTGAAAATAGGTGTGTTTTATGGGTCAAAGACCATGAATAATGTTACTGTTGGAAACATTTTTCCAAATGGTGATCAATTCTTGCTGAAGTTTTGAATAAAAGAGAAATACTCCTGTTTATAGCACAGTTTTGTCCCTAGTGAACATTTAAATTATATATGCAAATAAGTAAATAGAAGTTCTAGGCTCAGATAATAAAAAAGGCTTTACAATTTTAAAAAGTTTGTGGCTTTACGATTTTTAAAAATTGAAATATAATTGACATAAAACATCGTGTAAGATTAAGGTGTACAGTATGTTGATTTGATACACATATATTGCAAAACAATTACCACCATAGCATTAGCTAACACCTCTATCACATCACATAATTAACATTTCTTTTTCATGGTGGGAACAGTTAAGATCTAATCTCTGAGCAACTTTGAAGTTTATAATCCAGGATTGTTAACTATAACCGCTGTGCTGTGCATTAGATCTCCAGGATTTATCTGCTTGTTGTGTTTGTGTTTTACAATTTAAAAAATTAGAATAGTTTTAGATTTACAGAAATGTAAAAGTAGTAGAGTTCCCATATACTCTACTCAGTTTCTCTTATTTTTAAAATCTTATACTAATATAGTATATTTGTCACCACTAATGAACCTGTATCAATACATTATTATTAACTAAAGTCTATTTGCAGATTTTCTTAGTTTTTACCTGCTTTTTCTGTTACAGGATTCTATCCAGGATACCACATTACATTTAGTTATCATGTCTGCTTAGTCTCCTTCAGAATGTGATCGTTTTTCAGACTCCCTTGTTGTTGATAACTGACAATTTTGAGGAGTACTAGTCAGATACTTTGTAGAGTATTTCTCAGTAAGATTTTCTGAATTTTTCTCATGATGAAACTGTAGTTATAGGTTTTTAGGAGGAGGACTACAGAGGTAAAGTGCCCTTCTCATCACATCTTATCAAAGGTACAGACTATCAACATGATGTATTACTGATGCTGTTAAACCTGACTACCTGACTGCACTGGTGCTTGTCAGGCTTCCCTGTAAATTTATTCTCTACCCATCCCATTTCCATACTGCTCTCTTTGCAAGGAAATTAGTATGTGAAGCCCACACTCAAGGTGTGGGGAGCTATGCTCCTCCTTGAGAGGAGATGCAGGCTTTTTACCTAAATGAATACTCAGTGAGACTTTGCAAACTTTTGCAGACCATTACAGGAAGTCTCACATCCCTGCCCCTTATCCACTAAATACCAGTAGCGAAACCCAACTGAAAATGCCCCCACACGTTTCCAAAACAACCCCTAGGGGTCAGTACTGCCCCGCTGAAAACCACTGGTCTAAGGTATCTAATTCTAGTTTCTTTAAAGTGGAGTGACCTTAAAGCATTTAAAAAGGAATCCAAGTTCATAATCCATAGTTTAATGCTTTCCTCCTTATTTTCATGTTGTTTGCCACTAATTCAGCAGCAATTTAACTTAGCTATTTGCGAACTCTTCAGGATGTTCAACTCTCTTTTCACATAAATTCGTTTTATATAATATTTCATTAAATTATATACTTATAATTAGGAGGATGACTGGCCTGAAGATGTTGGTAATTGACACAACTGACTGGATAAGCACACAACTAACTCATTTGGGAAGCAAGAGTGCACAAGCATTCCAGAGGGTGGCCAACTGGTTATAGTTATTCAGTCTGCAAGGACATCAGTTACTTACTGAGGAAGTGGTAAGTCAGGTTAATCCAATAATTAGTGAAGTGGAAATTGGTTAAGAGAATTTTTGCTGTAAATGTATTGAGTCCTATCAACATTAGCAAAGATTACAGAAGATTTTTTAAATGCTAGTATCTAGGACTGCTGTAGTTGTAAAGAAATAGGCACTTTCATAGACTTTATCCAAACTTTTGATACACCAATTTTGCAAAGGATTTCAAGAGTCGTTACAGACTTTAAAATGTTGAGATCTTTTTATCTGGTAATATTGTTATGTTCTGGGAATTCTGTTTCCTAGAAAATAATCAGAGATTTTAGTTTTAAAATTATATCCAATTTATTGCTTCCATCATTATTCATAATAGAAAAAAAAATAGAAACAACTTAAATGTCCCCAAATGCAGAAATAGTTAACAATAACAGCACCCATATGATATAATATTATTTATTTTAACATTAAATTGTGTTTTCAAAGAATATTTAAAGATGCGGAGAAATGCTCATGAGGTATTATGTGAAAAAAAAAGCAGTATACAAACTAATGTACAATATGTTCTTGATTTTGTTAAAAAAAAAAAAAGAAACAAATACACAAAGAAATGACCAGAAGAAAATGTACCAAGTTATGATTCTCTCTGTCAGGATTATCAATGATTTTATTTTCTTCTTTGTAATTTTCTGTATTCTCCAAATTCTCTAAAATGAGCAAGTATCACTTTTATAACCTGGGATAAAAGAAATATTGCTTAATTTGGTAATACTTACTTTTTCACCTTTTGAATAAAATGAGGTATTTTAACAAACATGTTTTTTGTCTGCTACCTAAACTTATATTCAGATGGTAACATATTAAAGATTAGAAAATGCTTTTATATTAAGTTATTTAATGCTCTTTATATGGTTAAAGACTTAAAATTCTAAATGAGCCAGTTCAGTGACATTCAAACTTTATTTAAACATTTAGAAATGTTTAGTTTTTAAAAGTTGAAAAAGGTGATAACCCATGAAGGAAGTTAGTCAGCATTATTTTCTTATCCACAGCTGACTTTTTCTGAATGAACTTTCTCTTTGTTGCTTACATTCATTTTGCATTTTAAATTGTAGTCTAAAATTGCACCATAAGTCCATGGTACAATTTATGGACAAGTGCCACCCTGTGTTTGTTTAAGAAAGTGTTAGTCAATGCATATTGGAAACCAATATACATTGTATATTGGTTTAAATCTTACCAGTATTTTGAACACCTCACTATTCCAAGGATTATTGGTTTAAATCTTACCAGTATTTTGAACACCTCACTATTCCAAGGATGTTCTCTGTACCAGCATCACCTGAAAGCTAGTTAAAAATTAGGGATTTCAGCCTTTACCACAGACCTACTGAATCAAAATCTTTATTTTCAAAGGTGATTTGTGTGCCTAATAAAGTTTGAGAAGCACCATTGTGCAGATTCCTTTTTTTTCTTTTAATACATTTTTAAATTTTTTTTGTTTTTTAATTAATTAATTTTTATGATGACATTGGTTAACAAAATCCAGTGAGTTTCAGGCAGACTCCT